GTAATACGACATATCTACTGAATAGTAATTATTGTAGTTTCAGAGCATAAAATATTTATGTTAAATTAGTATTTTTTCACAACTTTTTAACTTAATTAGTCATAAGAGGTTCAATGATTTATGGATAAATAAAACAACTGTATGAAAAAAATTAAACCCTTTTTTTAATTAATTTAATAATATAAAATTATAAAATACAAATTACAGAATAAATAAGCTCTACAGACTACAAAAGATTCAAATATTTATGAATATCTCAATTTATCTCAACTCATTAAAGTAAAGGAAAATCACCTATAATATATAAATATTTCCGATAATATACATTTATATATATATATATATATATATATATATATATATATATTAGGCCAATTTGGCGTGATTAAACTTAGATGTGATGTTTGGAATCTTTACAAAAACTTGTGCGATGCAATAAAATTTTTACTTTACCAATACAGCTCTCTTATAATTTACGTCTATAGATTATTTTTATTATTTTATAACCAACATAACTCTTCAATTATTGTTTATCTAATTGTCTGAAAGCACTTATTATAACATACAATACTATAAATTATAGTAGAAATTTTGAAGACCTCTTTATCAAAATTATTGCAAGCAATTTATATATTTCTAATCGTATCTAATCTAATAATTACAATCAATAATCATCATTAGATGAGAAGTTTCTGAGATGTTATATTACAATATAGTTGTATTACAATAGAGCTTTTAAAAATAAAATTGGAATAAAACTATAATTAATATTTAATATATAATTACATATAGAAAATATTTCAGAAGTTTTAAACTTTACATCAGTATAAACTGTACATTTTTTTAACGCGTTTATCCATCCCCACTTGATTTACAACTTTTCGTACTACTAACAAGCTCGTATTTTCGTTACAGTTCTTATTTGCAACTGTTAAACTGAATCTTGAAGACATTTCAATGCTTTTATTTTTATATTTAAATAAACGTTTTTCCCTTACAATCTAGCTATTTTCATTTTGCTCATTTTAAAATAAAGAATTCGTATTTTTCATGATTTTACAAACATTTTTCATTTAAGTTTGTATCAAGTCAAAATTGTGTATACATATTTTTTTCAAGAGTAATAAAACATTGAAACAATGCTTGAAGATTATTATTTAATTTTTACAAAACATAGTCAATGTAAACAAAAATAGTACTATTCGACTTTGACTGTTGACAATCAACTTGTTGTATAAAGTTTTTGGCTTTAATAATAACTAAAATACATTCATTGCTTCATAGAACTGTATAATCTGTGAATCTTGCATTACCTACACATTACGAAACGTAATATTACGTATTATCAAAAATATTTAGTTACAAGTTTTAACTATGTTAATTATAGAAACATAAAAAAAAATTCTAGAATATCTATAGAATATCTCTAGAATATCAAAATATAAAAGAATTGTAAACGCTTTATAAACTTGGCTAAAGCTTTTACTAAATAATTAAATAAATGTTTTTATTATATAATCAGAGACATAATTTGTCTTTTTTAATATTTCTTGTATAATATATTGATTAGTTCCGATATTATAAAAGACGACAATATATATATCAAAGTTTGTATTAACTAAATTAATATGTGTTATTTTCAATTTAAAAGTAATTGATTTATCGATGAGTACTACACTATTTATCTAAATAATTTGCCATTTACAATTCATACTAAAAGAAAATAAATATATTTTAAAATGATATTTTTAAAAAAAATAATGTTCTACAATTCAGATTTTGTGTCAGCATTTAATACGAAGAATATTGTATTACATTTCTAGAAATCTTTACTTTTATTCTTTCAGAGACTTCAGTATAGATTTAATTTATAATATATTATTATGATATAATTTTTCATTAAATTACAATGTAAAAAAATTTAAAAAAAAATTCCTATTGCAGATTTCCTTATATACTCATTAAATAAACCTAATTTTATAGAAATGCATTATAATCAGTCAATTTATTATATGGATAAATAGAGTAATAATAACATTAGTAATGTACATAGATCTCAATTAGATTTTAACTGATCTACAATCTAATTAAATGAGAAGCACGTATACATTTGTATACAACGTTACTTTTTCTATTTTTATTCTATTCATTTTGTATACTTAGGATAAGAAAAGCAGCGCTATAAGATTACACAAAAATAACCATATAAATGAAGGGCAAAATGAAAGAAAATCATAAAAATACTCAAGTGTTCATTAATCTATACATGATTATATGTAAAGTATTATATATACGTGTGTACATACAATGTATATGAGCATGTGCACATGGGTGTGTGTCTTCATGCACACACACACACACACACATATATCTATATATATATAGATACACACACATGTCTATATATATTACCACATCTTTTCATTATTCAACTTATCTTAAAACTATATATACATAAATTCTTACAAAATTAAAAATGCATTTGTAATTTGTATTTGTCAAAGATAACTTTTTTTAAATTAATCAATAAGATAAAGTTATTTTTTAATAGTATTGTATTAAACTAATTAAGAAGTATAAATATATAATTGGCCAAAATATTGATTTTTTTCCTCAATTTATATATAACAAATAGTTTGATTTATTTAAAAAAAAAAAAAATATTTGAATATGAATTACAAATGCATTTTTAATTTTAGGAAAATTGATATATACAGATCAAAGATAGGTTAATTAATGAAATGATGTGGTAATTTAAAAAGGAAATGACAATTCTCTTATAAAAATGTTTTAATTTATTGGATTATAATTCAATCCAAACTATTAAAAGTGACAGAAGAATAAGTTGGAATTTATAGAATAAAAGTTATATCAGTTTTTGCTTAATTTCAGTTTTTCTAATTAATTAAAATTCATTATTTTCATATATCAATATTATTTCTATGTCATTAGATATGATTGTATCAAAATTTAGAATGAGAAAAATATTTACACACATATAAATAAATATAGAAACATGAATAAACGAATAATTAAAAATTAATTCATCCAAATAAAATATTTTAATGCTTTTTAAATAATATTTATTTTAGAAAATGGAATAAAAACGGAGTAACTTTTATTTTGAAAAATGGAATAAAAATTTATTTAATAAATATATTTAACGTAATTCTACAACTTTTAAATTCAGAAAATAATTAAAACTGTAATGTTTTTAATTATTTCAGAACATTATAAAATAAATGAAATAACGTAAGCATATATATTGATACATACACTTTATAAATGCTGTTAACATAACATTTTTTAATGTTTTTAAATTATAAAAATAATAATATTTCAGCATCATATACTCTTTTTATATAGAAAAAATAAATAGTGACATACATTTTTGCTTTGCAACATTTCAAGAATTTTATGTAATATTTCATATGTTTACATAAAACATTTTAATATATTAATGTATAATTAAAAATAAAAATCTTGGAAATCACACATTAAAGATTTATAAAATGTAATTTTCATATTTCATAGATTTCAAAATTTTTTAATACGCTTTCATTATATATATAATTGAATTTATATTTTACTGTGTAATTAAAATTCCGTAATTTTTAATAATTGAATGATTTTTAAATATACGAAATATGAAATGTTAACACTTTTCAATTGGAACTACTTATCGTTTAAAAAATATGTCCATAAATAAATATTCTAATAATTTGTATTCAAATTAACTAACAAAAACATTACTTAATATTCTAATCACGCAGTTTCAACATAATGTACATGGAACAAAGTATTAGGCATTGAATGTAATATAATATTTTGAGCTGTAGAAGATGAAATATTCTGTATGTACCAGCTATCTTGTTCTCACATATATTAAAAGCATTTATAAATATTAAAAATACTTTTGCTAAGAAATACAATAATTTAATTCAATTATTAAATAATATTTAGAACTATTATTTAAAATTTTTATTGTGGAAACGAAAGGCAAAGAAGCTTGATTTTTAAAATTATTCTATATTATTATGTCCAAATAATAATGTACAATTCCTTTGGAACAATGAATGTCTCTATGTAATATAATGTAGACAAAAATTAGGAAAGAATAAACATTAAATAAACGATATTGTCCACTATTCGAGGTATAAAAAATAGAATTAAGACGAAGATTACTTAAGATTGGTTAAATAAAATGAAATACCTTAAAATTCTAAAATGTAATTAGTACTGTTATCACATTATATGTTTACAAGTAGAAATTAGTCCTCTTTTACGATTATAATTACATCTCTTTGTCTAATTTTTACCTTTTCAACTCCTTCTCACGTTCCCTCCCTCAATCTTTTACTTTCATCCTACCTTAATACATTATCCCTTTATCGATATTTATGTTTCTGGTATTTGGCAAAACATGTATGAAAGCATTGACTAATTTAAAAAATTTAGAAATACGTAAATCATATAAATTCTAATTTGTTATAATATATAAGTGCATAGTGTGCATGTAATAAAATTATAAAATATTATATTTAAATGTAAAATGTGATTATAAAACCGTAGCGATACTGAATTTTATTCTACTTGCATAGTAAACATAGATTATCATTCTATTTAATAATTCTATAAAATAATGAAAAAAATATTTAGAAAAATATTCTTTATTAGTATGAAAGAATATTAAAAATAAATAGTTTGCGAAATTAAAGATATAGCATAAAGGAATTATAAATAACCTAATGAAAATAAAGTAAAATTATTTATCAATCTATCAATGTATTTCAAATGCTTTAACAAATTATAGCTAAAATTTACATTCAATTATAAAAAAATGTTCGAGAAAGAATAAAATATTCAGTAAACTAATCGAGTGTAAAGAATTATATATTCTATCATAATTAGTATCTACAGAGTAAGTAGAAATTTAAGAAAAGCTTTCAAATTATCGAAATTGAATTTGATTTAAATTTACCTTTATTTCTGCACTACTTGTATCAAGCATCTAATTCTCGATTTTTCACGCTTACGTGGCTGCCTCAGTCACGAAATTCCTCCTACTCTTTTCTTCAGTTTTTCCCTTTCCTTAATACGACGAGCTGAAAATTGCTGCGCAATTCAGTCGCTAACACTTGCCTCGTTGACAGTCGTCTGTGATAACGAATTACGTAAATACCGTTGGCCTCGATACTCTGGTAAAAAAACAACGCTCAGAAAAGTCGTGTGTGCCATTGTCGCTGTCTCGCTTTTCGCTTTTCCTTCTTTGCTTTATTACCGTGCGTGTTACACGTGTCTTTAAAGAAAGCTCAAGTGTTCGTGCAAAAATTTTTTGTGTGTCTTGAAAGAAAGAGAGAAAGGAGAAAAAGGAGAGAGAATGAGATAGAGATAGAGATTGAGATAGAGATAGAGATTGAGATGGAGATAGAGATTGAGATAGAGATAGAGATTGAGATAGAGATAGAGATGAAGAGAGAGAGAGAGAGAGAGAACTGACGGCGATGGATTTATTGCTTTTATTTTCTTTTGTACAAGTTTCCCCTGATTTTTCCATTCGATTCGTTCGGTCAATTGGGCTTTCGTGGTACTTTTTGACATCTGTTTGGGTTGTGTATGAGTGCGGAACTTAGTGAAACTTTGTGTAAATATACATTTTTAGTTTTATTGGAAATTTAATAAAATCAAGATTTATTATAGATGATAGTATAAAACGATAACCCAATAACTTATGCTATAAATAGAATAAATATAAAAATTAATCGTAAAAATGGTATTATATATTCATGAAATATTCAACTGTAAACAGAATTATTTTAAGTTTTGTTATTTAATGCTTTATATTCTTCGTCAAATATGCTATAAACATTTACTACAATTAACGACATGTATTTTTAACAATAAGTTAACATTAACCGGTATTTTTACTACTTCTATTAAAAATATTCTTAATATTATGATGTATAATAGAAAATTCGATTCTAAATTTATCAAAAATAATTTCTTATATTAGATTATATATTTTTTAAATGTCTCCATATATTGTCAGTTTACATAAAACAATTGTGATATTAAACATCGATCCGTATCTACTCTATTTCTAACATAAATATAAAAGTTGAAGTTCCATTTTATAAAATTTTAAAAAATGTTTAGACTTTTCTTAAACTAATATATTTATATAAATCAATATAAAGTATCTTGAAAAAATTATAATATATACTTTTTGAAACTATAAGATATAAAATAAAGTTAAAACAAACTTCGACGATATATTCAAACAGTAATACAATACAAATATGATAAGACAAAAAATATACTTCACATTTAAAATGTACATATACTATTTAACGCAGAAAAAAACGGTTCAAAGTTTTTCATGAAAGCTTATATAATGTACAATCTAATTTTTAATGTGGATCCAAATATCTTCTTTTTAAAGTAAAATATTTCTACTATGTAACAATTATGTTATAGCATTGATTAAAATATGGATAAAAATGTATGATCATATACTTACAAAGCTTGTATCGTACGTTAGAAATTCCTTGTTATTTAAGGAACGGAAATGTAAAAAATAATTATATATAACTTGTAGAACTCTTTTCTAAATTACAGCGATTAATGGGTAAATTATTTGTAACTGTTCACTCCATTGTCAACGACTTCACTCGCCTACTATCATTCAAAAAAAAACCTTCATTGTTGATGTGTAGTTACAATTACTTGACCACTTGCTAAAATTGGAGTAGATTCAAGCACTTTTAATAACTTTATAAAAAATTAATGAATTAAATTGTAGCGAATAAAGCCATATTAGTTCATATTTGTAGATCTTTATCACTACTCTCTATGATTAAGCAACACAGATCAGCAGCAATATGTTAATATACCATTTATAAGAAAAAAATCAGCTAACACAAAATGCTGTAACGACCTCTTACAAACGAATGGTGGAGTAAATGTAACTGAAACAAATTTAGTGCTAATACTATGCATAATTACTAGCATAATATAACGTTTAGAATTCAACACTACAACTAATATGATGATATAGTAAAATAATTATTTTTCTATTAATATTTATTGTCTTAAATTTTTTATTTATCTTTTTCTATTGAAGTTCAGAAAATCTTTTCTGTCTCTCTTTTTTGTATTAAAAATTTGAATTTTCACTCGATAAGCAGTTTTCATTATTCTAATGTTGATTGACTGTATTCAGGTGTGAAATAATCTTTTACTCTTACAACAGATGCGTCAAACATTTTCCTAAATGATTTATTGATGACAGTTTACTTTTCCATTTTTATCAGCGCTTGTTAAATTCATATATATCACTCGATTCCTACTACCACCACAAATTCTATTTTTTATTTGAAAAATACTTTAACGACTTGACGTTTTTGTTTTGACAGGTCTGTCATTTTGCATGAAAAAATGACAAATAGCATTGTTCAAGCAGAATTGATACATAGAAAAGGTATAATTTATTTTAATACGTTAAAAGATAATTTTAATTTATAGAAAATTATAAATTGTCATTTTTAATCAGGTGACAAACTAATTTCTGAAGAAACTGGACTTGAAAAAGAAGCCAATAAAATCACAAACGATAATGAAGAAATTCGAACGCATTGGCAAATTGTAAAATACTACTTTAATAGATTTAGATACTATCACTTTGTAGTGGCAGATACAATAGACAAATATTTATCTGCCGCTTGTCTTTGGGTACTCAATATGTATTTTAAATTATTTTGGGGAGCTGGTCCTGATCTACCATCGACGTTTGATGAAGAAAATTAAACTTACTAATTTAATAAAATATTTGCATAAATTATAATTCAACATATTTTATTTGTACATTTTTAGCCTTTAAGAAAAATATTTATTAATTTCTCAAAATTTATTTAATTGCAATTCCATACATTTTATCTACAACTGTTAAAAATACTTCTATATATTAGTATATATGGTAATAAGTATATATGGCATTAAACTATAATTACGTAATACAAAATATGAATTTTATTATTTACAAATAATTGCTTTATAATTAATTCGAATGAGCAAGAATAGTATGCACTATGTAAGCAACTCGATGCCGTAATAATTTAATTACTGATATATTGAAATAAATTCTTGCATACGACAAATTAGCATTATTTGATTAATTTAAGTATAAGTTTATGTTTGCTCATTCAATGAAAATTTAATATAAATATACGTGTATATTACATTATTTGTTTGCCATTATGTTCTACAATATTCAAATAGATCCTCGAAATAATGCATTTGATTATAAATAAAGTATGTAAAATTTATAAATTTCACTAAATAATAAATAAATCCTAACTTAATTTAATATTTTTAAATGTAAATATTTCGTAAATGAATAAAAAGTTATTGAATAATAGTGCAAACATTTGTTCTAAAAAAACATTCTTCTTTATATGCATTTATTGCAGATCTTAAATTAGATATTTATAATAAATTTTTCAATCTATAAATAATACAAAATATAATAATATAAATAATAATAAACAAAAATCTATAAATATAGGTTTTCAAATATTTACGAAGTATTATATTTAACAATTACAGAATACCGCATGCGGATAATAAATTTACATAAAACTAGAATGATAAGCAACAGTTTTGATAAAAATTTTTGAAAAAAAACGTTACCTTATAAGTGATCAATTTATGAAAAAAAAACTTTATACATTTATATAATGTAATATATTTCTACATTAATTATTACTATTTCATTAAACTATTAATATTTCATAAAAATTATCCATAGTAATTTTTATTACTATGGATAAACAAATAATACAAATTTATAATACGAAATGAACTGAAAAAAAATTAAATTTAACTATACGTTAAATAGATCTTTATAAATAATTTAATGAAAATATATTTATATTACAGAATAAATTTTTGACAAATGCAAAGTGATTCAAAGTTTATTAATTTGCTGTTTAATTATTGCGCCAAAGTCTAATATAAATTATTAGATTTTATTTAAACCAAGAGACAATTTTGCTTATTCAAAAACTTTTTCTAAATATTTAATTTGTTATTAATGCTTGATGTGTACTTCCTTTTCTTGTATTTAATTTCATATTTGAAAATATTAACTTTTCATGTTGAATAAATAAGAAATACATATAAAATATTTATAAAGTATTTTACAAGTATTCCACTATTTCCACCTTTTATAAAATTGCTTTTATTCCTATTTTCATTTTTGATCTTAAGCTTTGCATATTTCATTTGATTTATAAAATGTTTATGTTTTCTATATCTTTGCGAAATTATATTTTATCTGTTGTTCATACAATAAAAAATTGAATATTTAATGTATTTGTATAAGACAAATAAAATGAGTATTTTAAAATTCTTATCTCTAATTTATGAATATTGATTTCTAGAGCACTAAATTTTTTATTAATAAATATTCTTTATGTAACTATAGCTATACCTATAAAGAAATTAATTTATAAATAGATTGAAGTTAAATGATTAATATATTACATAACAAATAATTCAATAAATAATTTATCTGTAGTAAATTATTCTACAAATTATTTTCTGCTTGTAATATCCCGTAGGTGATGTACTTGTAAATATTTTCAACAATTATTCACAGGACAATAGATATCAAGTATTTCGAATATCTAAAGACGCATGTGAGAAACATATTGCGTCAAATATTTTACTCGTGTACCTATTACATCTGAATTTTCATGAAAGTTTTCATATTTATCATTCTATTACAATTATTGCTTAACTTACTACTAACATAACTTCTAGCTTTGAAATGATTTTAGCGCCGTCGCTATGTACCTCTGTTTCTTTTTTTTCCATCAGAAGTTTTGATACACATATCAAAAAATTATAGTCATATTAATCGGTCAAAGTTTTTCCTTTATCTAGGAACTGAATAAACTCCATCAATGCTCTCACTGAACTTTCTTTTCCTATACCAATGATAGCTGACGCTGCTTCTGTTTAGCGATTGAATTTTATTTGACTATTGCACTCTAAACGAAAGTTCAATCTTGAACCAAAAGAACCTTATAAAAAAAGTATACTCGTTAATTAACATAAAATTTACAAAGTATATAAAATGATCTTAAATATCGACCATTATAATAAAAAAATACATCGCGTATCAAATTAATTTCTTTTATTATTATTACTTTAACATAATTTATTATTATATTTTTACACTTAATTAATTAATATTGATATTATGTATTAATATCTTTTAAAATAGTTTTATGAACTAATATTTATAATTGATAAAAATTTATCAATCAAATATCAGAAAATTAAAAACTATATTATCAACAATAGTAAATTAAACAAAAAATAAATTAACAACATTTTTAACATTTTTTTTTAATTTAAAAATAAAACAATAACCAAAATATTTAAAAAATTTTTTTTTAATGGTGTAAATTCAGTTTTATATAAAATTAAATAATAAACCTAAATCATTTATCTAAAATTAAAAATATATAAAAATTCAACATTGACACTAATCAGCATTAATTATTTGATTATTACATTATATTTACATGCCTATAACTTCAATAACATGCATTAATGACAATTTATTGTTAAAACTATTTGAATAAATAAAAAATATTAGAAAAATATAAATTAGTATCAATTAAATCGAATGGTAACATAAATTCACTGATAAGTATATTAAGAAATGTATGTTAATTATATTACGATATTAAGTATGTTATACTTGAATAACATCTCTTATAAATCCAATATTTATGTTTTCTATAAAAAAAAGATCAAAATAATATGTGTATTGTATATTAAATATAATTTAACATATTATGCAAATACTGAAGAAGACAGATGATTATTCTACTTTACATATCTAAAACTAATAAAAATTATCTACAGTACAAACGTACCTGTACAAGATAAATCTTGAAAATAACAAAGTTCTTGATTTTGTAAAATATTAGACTAATAAAAATATACATAATTAAATGTAAATTTAATAGTTCTAAAACTAGCTGAGACAAAAGTCATATGATAAAAAATTTTTAATCTAAATTTTTGTAATTAATATACAATTAATATATATTCGAGCGTAAATTGAATAAAATAAATTTAAATTCAACTTTATTTCATCATTTATAAGGTTTTATAAAAAGTTCACATATGGTTAGCTAAAAAATGTAAATATAATTTAATTCTAAATAATATATTGATATATTCATTATATTGATAATATATTGATTTACATATATCGATAAATATACAATAATTGAAACAAAAATGACGAAAATTTGAACTCAACTCAATAAATAAAATTTTTCTGAGTGATAGAAGCTTCAGAGGAAATTAAGATAGCCATTTCCCTAAAAAATTAAAGCCGTCTTTTCCTCGTAAAGGAACGAATTATCCCATAACTAATGAATATAATTTTCTAATTTCTTTATTAAATTCTTCAATTAATCAATACATAATATCATTAAATGGTACTTAATATTTTTACTGTTTCTTCAAGTTATAAATTAAAAATCTTGCTGTTTGTAAATATAACATTGTACAAGGTTCTATTATTTAATATTAAATTTTGTTTCCACTACAATTTACTAAAATTTCTATTAAAATTGAATAAAGTAAAAAATATTTAATATTTCATAAATTATCGGTAAAAACTTGATGCACTTTACTATAATATTTTTAAATATACTTTTAGTATTATTTATACCTTATATTGAATTAAAATATTCTTAATTAATATATTCATATGTTCATATATTCTTAAACAAAGCAGTATTATAGTTATAATTTTTACACTTATCGATATTTTTATACCATTTCCTCATACTCGGATAACGATGAAGAAAAAACAAATATTTAATACTAATAATTATTTAATTGAGCAAACATAAAATATATAAAGAATTTAATCACTATCTCGTATTTATAGAAAAATTTTCTTTTAAATATTTTTGGAAATGTAATTTAACAACAGAATTGGTAATATTCTAACCCAAAGTAATAAATTAATATATGTAATAAGTTTAAAAAAAAAAAAACAAGAATTAATGATTTTCATGTGAAATATAAATATAACTAAGAAAATCACAAAATGATAATAGGATTCTTACAGAACATTTCCATCGACTTAATTTTTCGATAAATATAAGAATTGAAATACAAGAAAGATATTTACAAACAGATGAAAAATAATGCATAACAAAAATTATAAAGTTCAATCTTGGTCAAGTCTGATGTAAAAAATCAAAAATAAATTAACAGAATCATATATAAAAAAGTTTGATTCAATAAATTTAATGAAATAGTCTCAATTAATATAGACATATAAAGATAAAGAAATTATTAGTATTTAATACAATTAGGAATAAAATAGTACAATTATTTGGTTTAAAATATGTAAAAATAATTATTCAAAAATATAATGCTTTTTAATATAACTTATTTATATAAACCTCGTGAATTACTGTACTAATTTTTCATAAAAAAGAAAATGACATAAAACTTTGGACAACTAAAATTGGATTCAGATAAATCTATGACTCGAGATTCATGCAATTTAACTCGGTTGGTATGTTAATTAATCTTTATATTATAACATTTCTATTTCATTGATCTCACTGTTTTATGAAATTAAAAAAGTTTTATAGATTCCTTGGCGCAACTTTATAAATACATAGCAGATACACATATATTTTATCAACAGATAGAAATGTAGAAGTTTAAATTACTTATTATAGCGTATCTATAAAATTATTTTAAATTTCTCGACTTAAATTTGATTTCAATATTAACTTTTTGAATA